AATTCGAAAATAATGGGGAAATGTCGTAGATGGTTATAATAAAAATGGGAAAAACCCTCCACTTATGTCATTGGTTAATTTTGATATTTAAATCATTATGTTAGTGAAAAGGGATTCCCAGATGACTTAATTTCACTTATGTTTTGTTGCAAATATAGTTCCAAATACATGACAAATCAGGAAATTAGGGGGAAAATTTTTGGCGTATTTATGGGATCATCAAAGTATCTTAGAAGATCAAGGATGGCTCAGACTTCCATTGTCAAGGAAGTGACTGAAAGGATAATCCCTTTTTAGATTGACAACACACAACCTCCTTGCCATATGCCTGTCTGTCATCTTGAAGGAATGCTAGTTTGGGGGATATGAACCACCAATTCCCCATGTGAGAGCACTTACTGAAACGATATAGGACCCAAAACCTTACAGACTTCAAATAAAAACAATACAACCATTATGTTCACACTTTTTCACCTTTACATAAAAACAGTAACAACCAAAAACACAGTTTCTTAATAAAACACATATCATAGCATGTATATAGACCTTAAATCCAGGAGGTCATCAACTGGAGTTCGCGCTGGAAGCAGAATAGCTCCCTCTTCCATTTGCAGGGTTCACGGCAGTTCCAAGCATCTACGTTGCGACAATATTCGCCCCTGCTGTGCCATAATCGAAAATACTCCCGATTACCTTCACAGTTAATGCAGTCTTGAAAAAAAACGTTCATCTGCTGTAAACTTTGCAAGTGTTGGAGGAGTCATGATGCCACACATTGTATACATCAGCAGTCAATACATTATTGAATCCTTGCAAACTTTGCAAGTGTTGGAGGAGTCATGATGGCACAAAAACTCCATCGCATCCTCCTTGCCCTCGCTAGGGTTCACCAGCCCTAGCAAGCCAACAACGTAGGAGGCTTCCATATGCCCTGCCATAGCCGCCAGCCGCAGGTTCTTCAGTACCTCATCATCTTTCAATAGGAAGAAGTCATGAATAGCTTCTCTGTAAATGATTTCTGGATTGTTATGTTGTTTGCACTTTTGCAAGAACTCAACAATTTTGCCTTCATCAAACCCGTACCAGTCCTCATGCCGCTGGTACTTATCTACTGACACGGTTCTCCAAACCTCAGGATCATTCAGCATATCTGTTTGTGCCTAACAAATCTCGGCCATGAACTGGCCGAAGGAGCCCGTTTTCTCGACCCAAGCACTTCCTCGAGAAGCTAAAGCGCAGCGTTTCGCCAAGGTGTTTTGCCTTCCTGAAAACAAAAGAAAAGTTGCCAAGGCATGATCATCTCGGCCTCGATTGTAAGCCGAGGCTGAGGTCGAGCAAAATCAAGGCCAGAGATATCAGAATCAAATCATCACGTGATAGCAGGGTCCCATGCTTCATTTAATGAAGTAATGCCGCTGTTTATTGCAGCAAACCCACTGGCCACGAATAAGCATTTAATGCATGAGGGAAGGTGGGAAGTGACTGAAGTCAGGGTTTGGCGACAGGAAACAGAGTGATTAGACGTGGACATTCTCACAAGAATTCTTGCAGCTTGAGAGATTAGGTCACCAGCTATCAGAACAATAAATGCGTTTCTGTTTGTGCCTGATAAATTACGGCCATAAGCTGGCCGAAGGAGCCCTTTCTCTCGGCCCTAGCACTTGTTCGTAAAAACTGAAACGCAGCGTTTCGCCAGGGTACTTCGCTTTCCTAAAGACAAAAGAAGAAATGCTAAGGCATGATCATCCCAGCCTCAAGCGCAGGCCGAGGCCGAGGCCGAACAAAATCACGGCCAAGGCATTAAAGGCAAATCATCACGTGACAGCAGGGTCCCAGGCTTCATTTAATGAAGTAGTGCCTGTTTAATGCAGTAAACCCACTAGCCACAAAGAAGCATTTAATGGATGAGGGAAGGTGGGAAGTGACTGAAGTCAGGATTTGGTGATGAGGATCAGAGTGATTAGACGTGGACATTCTCACAAGAATTCTTGCA